CACGCCGCGTGTCTAATAGGTTTAGATAGCGCGACGCTATCGACCGACCAGCTATATTTCCGCGTCGAAAAGTTGCTTAGAGAGTGGGTGGCGACCGCCGCCGACCGCCAACGACGTCACGTGTCACGGCCATTTTTGAGCGTGCGTGGTTTGGCGGGCGACGGCGACCGGAGATATACTGTAGGTAGGGTGGGGATGGCGTGGGATGGGAGCCGTTACGGGTTGGTGGGTGGGGTAGGGGATGGTGGGGTGGGTGGGGATTGGTGGGTGGGTCGGGCGAAGGCTGGGTGGGTGGGATGGTCGGTATGGGGTGGGACCGAGTGTGAGTGGTGGGGGTGCTGGTATGGTCGTTTTCATAGGATGCATCTGTGGTGGAGTTGCGGTGGGTGCTGGGTGTGGTGGGTGAGTGGGGTGGGGGATGGCGTGTGTGGGGGTAGGGAAGGTGGGAGCTGGCGGGTGCTCGGCTGGCGGTGGAGTGTTTTTTGGGGGTGCGGCTGGGTGGCTGGGCTGGTGGTTTGGGCTGTGGCGGGGGTTGGCTGGGGTTGGGGGTGGGTTGGCGCGTGGAAGGGTGGCGGGGGGTGACGTGGGATTGGGTGTTTTTTGTGGGTGGTTGCGTGGGTTGGGTGGGCGTGTCCCCGACTTGTAATGGATAAGGCTAAACAGCGGAACAAGCGTACGGACGAAGGCATGGTTAATAAACTGATAAAAACTATTAACTGAAAAATGCGAAAATTGCCAACACTAAACGTATCACTGTTATTAAATTTCTTGTAACCTCTTCGCCACTGAACAGCTTGACAGCGAATAAAAACATCCGAAACAGATTTGAACTTTTAATCATATTTATTAGAAAAAGTATCCGTTTCTTTGTACACAAGTACACACACCGATTGTCCCCCGTAAAACCGTGAATAAAGCGACAACGCATAACAGTGTGTCTCTTCACAAAACATGGCACGCCGCGCACACACACTACGCGCGCCGCGCCACACACACACACACACACACACACACACACACTGCGCGCCGCGCGCCGCGCGCCCCGCGCACGGACACACACAGCACACACCGCACGCACCGCACGCACGCACGCACGCACGCACGCACACACACACCCACACACACGCACACGCACACGCACACAGCACACGCAGCACGCACCACACACACACACCACACACACACACACCACACAACACACACGCACAACGCGCACTGCCGCGCAACTCTCTCTCTCTCGTCTCTCTCTCTCTCTTCTCTCTCGTAGGTATCTCTATAATTGCTATAAGATATGAGTGGCCTGCGGAACGGGATTATTCGGCCAATTAATGTAACATCCCCGAAGTAAGGATCTACCAATCAGTTTACGCGCCCAAGTTGTAATAAATACCCGCGACCCTTTTTCGGTGTATAAAAGCTTGACGTTCTTCAATCGCGGCCCAAGCTTCACATCCAAGTTACCCGCCGCCTCTACGCAAGCTCACTATCAAGTTACACAGCGCCTCTACGCAGCTCACATCAAGTTACAACGCCTCTACGCTACGCTACAAGACTCCACATAGAGGCAACACGCGAAGCGTAACGCAGCTACCCAATATTCAAGGTAAGCTGGCTACATCTTGCGCCAAGATGTTACGTAATGAAAGCAGGCTTTAGGTAAGCTATGATACGTACATAATGAAATCTATCTTTCCAAGCCCCACGCAGATTTACGTGGGGCACATACGCGTTAAAGGTAAGTACGGGAATGTTCAGATGTAATATATATACAAATCTTATGCCGACAATGCGTATTGAGCTCGGTTATGAGGAGGCGTGTCAGGCGGAATTTCTCGGTGGAGCGAGATCGGGTTGTGAAAGAAGCACACACTCTCGAGCGCTCGAGGGGCCGGCCGGAGGGCGGGGGGGTAGGGTTTCACTTGGGTATAAATATTTAATAAGGCGACTACTGAGCAAAGGGTTCGCGACTTCCAGACGTTCAACGACTTCAGTTACGGACTCAGCTTCTTTACTGCCCAGTACACGTGTTGTAGGCCTGTAGTCGTTTTAAACTGTTTAGCGTTACGGTGGGCCGGGCGGGCGAGGCTGGAGCGGATGTTGTTCTATCGGCTGTGGGGCGGGCCCGCGCGGGCCTCGGGGCGGGGGCGGTCCCGTCCGAACGGCACATAATATAGCTTTGCCGCAGTGGTGCGCATTGCTCGCCACTGGCTTTTATACCTCTTCTCTTCACTTGTTCTCTCTTCTGCATCCGTCGATGACATCTAGCCGCCAAGGAAACTAGCTCCGTGGTAAATAATGCGCAAACATCGTCACTGGTTCTGGTTCTTTGTCACATCGCGGTGGGATGACGCCGTCACCGTTGGCCGCTCCTAGCCAACATGACAACGATCGTCCGGCCGTTGCTAAACGCCACCACCGGACGTCATCGATGAGAAGTGAAAGAAAAGCTGATCGCCGACGTGCGACGAGTGCAGAGCTCTCGAAACTACGGACAAGCTACACATTCTGCTTTAATATGATCACAGGACCCGTTTTTCCAGCATACAAAATTAGTCTTAACGTTTAGTTTTTTAGCAATTGACTTAATTTTTCTCGTTGAACAGAAACGTGGTAAAGTTAAAACGTTCGCGTGCGGCAGTGTATAGAGTTTCAGGTCTACGGAAGAAACAATTATCATGTTAGACTAGCGTTAGACCAGTTCTGTTTCTGTAACCGGCCCCAACTTGGGCTTAAATTTCTAGGCGTAGCTTGCCTAGAACGCATCTGCACTGATATATCTAGAACTGAAACATAGCTCACGTTGAACGGACGTTGCGTCATATTGACGTATTTATAACACGAACACGAGGAGCGTGAGAGACAACCAACCTCTTCGTGTAATTCCGCGAGACACGATATATCTATATCTATATCTATATCTATATAATATATATCACTACATGTATATATATATATATATATATATATATATCACTATAATTATATATATATATGCCCTTACCGAATGCTCCAGATAGCTATCGTATAATATTAGAGAGACGTGCTGATAGAGCAGACGTATGGTAGAGAGAAGTATCGGGTCGCTAATCCGAACGGAAATATCAATTGAGTTGCGATAGGAATCGCCGAGGATTACGTTGGGATTTGGACAGGATGACACTCATAGAATCATCCTCGAGGTTGCCACCCGAGCTGAGAGCTAGCGAACGAAGCGTAGCACTGTAAGTTTTATGCTTTCCTCCTTGGTTTAACCGGATACAGCTTACGTTCTAGCTAAAAGCCTTATCTAACCAATCTATCTATCATAGGATTTGCGTTTCTGTCGGTGCCTTTGTCAGGTGCTATGCTCTCGTGCGTTGTCTGCGTGTGCGTGCACGTTGCGTGTGCTCGTGCGTTGCGTGTGCTTGCGTAGTGCTGCGCTGTGTACGCGTGCGTGTTTTGCCGTAATAATTCCTTCCTTCTCAGAGACTGCCGGAAGATTGTGCTGAGCTTGCTGAAGATCGGGTTTAAGAACAGAGAGTGGAGAGTAACAGATCCTGCACGCGTTTCTCTGACGAGGCGTTTTCGCTGTGTACTGCGACATGGAAACCGACGGTTGGTGGTGAGATGGACCGTTGAGTAATATACCACACACACACACACACACACACACACACAACACACCGACACACACACAACACACACACATGACACTCAGCACACAACACACACACCACACACACACACATACACACACACACCACACAACACACATACACACACCACACACACACACACACATACAACACACACACATATACTATATATATATAATAACTTATCATAATGCTGAGTTAGCAATAGGTGACCTACACTTATTGTTAGCAACCTGAATATTTGTCAGCAAAGATGAAAGCAGGCAGGTGATCGCTTCGATCGTATCGTTTTCATGCAAATTGTTGAATGTTACACGAGTCTCTTCAAGCGAAGCGCTAGCGATGAGCTCAGGGGATTTCTACAGAAGCCTGGGACTCGTACAAGTTCGGATTCGGAAACATTGAACGAGAACATAGGCTAGGCTACCCTGTGCGTGCATGCATGCGCTCGCGTTGCGTGCGAGCGTGAAGAGCTGTGCGTCGCGTCGTGCGTGCCCGTGGTGTGCTGCGGTGGCGTGTGTGCAATGCATGCATCGCTGCATGGCGTGCCACGTGCGTGCCGTGTGTGCATGCGTGCTGTGCGATGCGGTGCTGTGCAGTGAGTGCTGTGCGTGCATGCATGCGCGGCTGGTGAGCCTCTCGCTTGCGTGCGAGCGTAAGCAGCCGTGCGTGTGTGCGTGCGTGCGTGCCAAATGCGTGCATGCGTGCCCCAAGAGTCCCGCGCACCCGCGCCGACCAGGGCCTAAAGTGTGTGCATGCGTGCTGTCGCGTGAGTGCAGTACGCGTGGCATGCAGATTGGCCGTGCGTGCGCTTCGCTTGTCATACAAACACGTTCTTGGAATTTTAGCGTCGAGGACGTGTGGCAAGCGAAAATTCGATATAGCAACACGACATAGTTGTCGCTACACTACAAAAATAAAACGCGTTTTGAACCGACGCTGAATCGAATTTCTCCCGACATGCCCACCCGGGTAATATAAAAAGTAAAATACGCCGATTGCAATTGAAGCTTCGTCGCTGTGTGCAATGTCACCAAAGAAGTGTGCGACTTGCGCCATGCCGTCGTAACGACGTCTCTCTCTCACTCTCATGCAGATAACAACGTCTCTCTCTCTCTCTCTCTCACTCTCATGCAGGCAACGACCGACTGAGCGCTCTCACCACCTCCGTACCGATGCAGCTACGAATCGATCTGAGAAGATTCTCGGGCGAGACGCGCTACGCCACGTACGATGTTTTCAGCATCGCTTCAGAGAGGGCGCTGTACAAGCTCAACGTCGGCATGTACCACGGCACTGCGGGTAAACGCTCGTTCGCGTCTGCGAGAACACTATATACATTGTTATAACAATATATCTGTTGTTATATTTATATACATTGTTATATGTATATGTACATAGTTGCCTGCATAACAATATATACATTGTTATATGTATATGTATATATTGTTGCATGCAGAACAATGTATACATTGTTATATGTATATGTATATATTGTTGCATGCAGAACAATGTATACATTGTTATATGTATATGTATATATTGTTGTATGCAGAACAATATATACATTGTTATACGCATAATATTGTTTTATGCATAGCACCTCCTCTCGCTCTCTCTCGCTCTCTCACACTCTATCTATCTATCTCACCCCCTCCCTCTCGCTTTCTCTCTCAATTCGCAATCACGCGCTCACCGTCACCCACATTACCTCCCCCGCCTCACACGCTTCTCATCTTTTTCAGGCGACTCGATGATATCTCGTCATCACGGGATGAATTTCAGCACTCCGGACCGGGACAACGACACCCACAAGACCGTCAGCTGCGCTGAATCTCACAAGGGCGGTTGGTGGTACGGCAGCTGCCACTATTCGAACCTGAACGGACTCTACGGAGAGGACAACACGAAGGGAGTCGTGTGGTACCACTGGCTCGGTCACTCCGAGGCACTCATGAGCAGCGAGATGAAAGTGAGACCCGTGCAATACGCCCTCCACTGATCGCGGATGCTTGGCTGGCTGCGAACCCGGGGCTCAGTGTCGGAATATGACAGAGTAGTACGCGCGTGCGCGCGTGCCTGCGTGTCGGGGCGCGAATTGTAGCCAGGATGTACACGTTCCATGCAATGTAGATATACACAAATGAGTACATCATATATATATATATATATATGAGTTAAAGCAAGATTGAACTAACTCTAATGTGTTTATTCCAAATAATTAAATTTTCGACAGTCCGGTCTTGATCACAGTACGCGAACACCGTAAATTTCCATAGCAGGAGTTTAATATCACCAGCTCCTTTATTCTACAGCTATTATATATAGATAATTTACACTGACACAGTAGCATGCTTTAGGGTTAGGGTTAGGGTTAGGGTTAGGATTAGGGTTAGGGTTAGTGTTTTTGCATCATGATATCTGTCCCCACACCATAGATTATTTTTTGTGGATTACAATGCCTATATATAGCGCGGCGACACATATATATTTAGTGTGAGCGTTAGTGCTGGCGGTGTTGAAGTGAGGGTTGCCGTTAGGGTTAACGTTTTGAACGTCATCGTCAACGTTATCACGTGACCTCCCTCCACGCCCGGGGGATAGCAACACCCGTTTACTGAATAATATATATAAAGAAGGTATTCCTTCTTTATACGCTCTTGCATATATGTATTAACGCGTGGATGGATGGATGGATGGATGGATGGATGGATGGATGAGTGGATGGATGGATGCATGCATGCATGGATGCATGGATGAATGGATGGATGTGTAGCGTGGAATATACGTTCGTAGACAGTAGACGTAGATAGTAGATGTAAACGGTAAACAACTATAGGTTTTATTCTAAACACGAATAGCAACAGTGAATACACATACCAAGTTGTAGTCGGTGACTCCCTCGTTTCTCTCAAAACCTCTCCCTTTTAAACCGTACGCGCGTTCGTCGCGACCTAAACAGACTTCCTAGTTTGTGGCACGACTAGTGACCGCAACGACCGGTCGCGACGCCCGTCCGCTTGTACCGGCCGGAGTGTTGACACTCGTGGCCGCTGTACGCTTAATGATCGTTTGTTTGTTGCGGCCCTCCGCATTCTTGTTGATGTTAATGTGCTCCGTACCCCTCGGTACTGCCCCCTGTCCATTCTGAAGTACGTGTGTTCTTAATTATGTAGCTAATGGCTTCTGAGTTCATCGCCCGAACCGTTGCCTGGGTAATATGTCGGACTTCCCCATGTCTCTATCTTAATGCCAAACGCCGTACTACAGATGGATGGATGGATGGATGGATGGATGGATGGATGGATGAATGGATGGATGGATGGATGGATGGATGGATGGATGGATGGATGGATGGATGGGTTGATGGTTGGATAGATGGATGGATGGATAGATGAATGAATCAATGGATGGATGGATGGACGTGCGGATGGATGGATGGATGGATGGATGGATGTTATGGATGGATGGATGGATGGATGGATAGGAGAACGAATTAATGGATGGATGGATGGACGTACGGATGGATGGATGGATGGATGGATGTATGGATGGATGGATGGATGTATGGATGGATGGGTGGATGGATGGATGGGTGAGTGGGTGGATGGATGGGTAGGTGGGTGGATAGGTAAACAGACGAACAGGCGTACGGACGAAGGGATGGTTAATAACTGATAAACTAGAACTGAAAACTGGAAAATTGCCAACACTAAACGTATCCGGTTATTGATTTCTTGTAACTTCTTCGCACTTCCGCGAATGACAGCGAATAAAAACATCCGAAACAGATTTGATTTTTATCATTATTTTATTAGAAAAAGTATCCGTTCTTTGTACACAAGTACACACACCGATGTCCCCGTAAAACGTGAATAAAGCAGACAACGATAACGTGTGTCTCTCTCACACACACTGATATGGAATGAATTAAAAAAAAAACGATAAAAATTAATTTCTATCGAGAAATAATGCGGCTCAAATGGTTATATCTTTGCTAAAATATTGTTCGTTTACTGTCGAAAGAAAATTGGCCTACTAGAACACAGAGTCAAAATCTTTTAGTGAGAAGTTGTCAACTCATCTTAACACAACTTTAACGATAATAACTTTAACAACTACCTCAACTTAACTTTTAACTTTGGACTTTGTTAGCGATTCAAATCCTCATCACTCACTATTCCATCAGCTGTCAACCATTCTGGCTGCAAATAGCAGCTGCATCAGCATTACACTATATTACCCAATATTTACGTGTCTCTGTGTCAATATCATACAATGATATGCAATGAATACAACCCATACAAAATACATCTGGCCCAGAGCTGGCCAGACACTGTCTCTGCCATCCGCCTACAGGTGTTAAATCTGTCTGATGGGCGAGTGCTCTTATTGCTGGCTTTGCCTTTGAACTGCGGGTGTTTTTCGAGTTGTTATTGTTTTTCAAGTTTAGATGTCAATGCTTTCATTTGCCAGCGAGGTGACGTAGCAAGCGCTTGAGACAAAAACATGCTAGAGCCGCGGAAGGCTCATCCTAAATTGTTAGTATAACTGTAACGAACGAAACTCGTTTTCATTCTAATTGTTTAGCCGAAGAAAGAGTGAAAAACTCCACTGATGATCGGATTGCTCCCCGATCCACTAGACTGTAGGCAGGCCGCAGCCGCTCGTGTAAAAACTTTGGGCGCATTACGCGGCACATGATTGGTCGGCTAGCAGCGGCCACGTCACCGAGTAAACATCGTGATTGGCATTCGGTGGGCGTAGTGATTGAGATAATTAGGTTTATTTAAGGATTTCGATAGTTTTTGGTGCGCTTTTAAATCCAAAATTTTTTCTCGTGCTAGTCCATGACATGCTTACCAGCAAACACTGTGTCAAGTTAGTCACTGTTGCCCACGAATTCAGATTAGTCAAATTCCCATGCAACTCTGGTATGATTTATGCCAGTAGTAGGAATGAAGTAGGAAGAGCGTGACGCTGTATATATGAACTCAAACCTTCGGTTTGCACAAGGACGGGGCGTCCGGGGGGGCACGGTAACGTCGAGCCGGATGTGTCTCGTGCGCGCCACTCTGTTTGAACATCAGGTGGCATGTTTACTGAGGGTAATGCTATCCCCCGGGCGTGGAGGGAGGTGACCGCAACGTGGCAGCACTAGTGTTGGGATAGTGTTAGGATTAGGGTTAGGGTCAGGGTTAGGGTTAGGGTTAGGGTTAGGGTTAGGATTAGGGTTAGGGTTAGGGTTAGGATTAGGATTAGGGTTAGGGTTAGGGTTAGG